CCCCCCACCCCCAGCTTCTGGAAGCGGTTGAGTCGCTTGATGAGCAAAGTGAACCCAGAGCCGAACGTCGTGCACATCATGGGCTGCTACGTTCTGGGGAACCCCAATGGGGAGAAGGTGCAGGGACCCCAGGCCTGGACAGAGGGAGGGTGGGGCCCCCTGGAGTTTCCCTTCCTTGCCCCTGCCTCCCTCCCAGGGAACCCCCTGTGCCCGAGCCCAGCCGCCTGCGGGGCCCGGGGAGAGGAGGGTCCCTGTGCCCGAGCCCAGCCGCCTGTGGGGGCCCGGGGAGAGGAGGTCCCTGTGCCCGAGCCCAGCCGCCTGTGGGGGCCCGGGGAGAGGAGGTCCCTGTGCCCGAGCCCAGCCGCCTGTGGGGGCCCGGGGAGAGGAGGTCCCTGTGCCCGAGCCCAGCCGCCTGTGGGGGCCCGGGGAGAGGAGGTCCCTGTGCCCGAGCCCAGCCGCCTGTGGGGGCCCGGGGAGAGGAGGTCCCTGTGCCCGAGCCCAGCCGCCTGTGGGGGCCCGGGGAGAGGAGGTCCCTGTGCCCGAGCCCAGCCGCCTGTGGGGGCCCGGGGAGAGGAGGTCCCTGTGCCCGAGCCCAGCCGCCTGTGGGGGCCCGGGGAGAGGAGGTCCCTGTGCCCGAGCCCAGCCGCCTGTGGGGGCCCGGGGAGAGGAGGCGGGCCCTGCTGCCTGCCCCTCCCCCTTTTCCTCCTTCCGCACCGTCTACTCCAGACTCATGGTCCTGCCCCTTCTTTCAGCTGTTCCAGAACCTCAGGACCCTCATGACTCCTTACAGGGTCACCTTTGAGTCCCCCCTGGAGCTGTCGGCCCAAGGTGAGTTAGCCTGGCCTGGCCCCCAGCCCTGAGGTGGGACGTGGGGCTGCCCCAGGCCTGAGCCTCTCGCCTCGCCCCTTCTGCCCAGGGAAGCAGATGATCGAGACGTACTTTGACTTCCGGCTGTACCGCCTGTGGAAGAGCCGTCAGCACTCGAAGCTGCTGGACCTCGACGACGTCCTGTGAGGGGCATGTGCCACCACCCGGCCACCGCCAGGCCACTTTCTCTGGGCTGCCTCATGCCATCCAGGACCCTGCAGTCTGGTCTTGCCCAGAGCCACTTCAGGGCACCCTCAGACGTTGCTCAGGTTCTCTCCCGTGGGGTCTGGTACTTGCTGCACCGACGGGCCATAGAGCCACAGTCCCTGGGGGGCTCGGGAGGAGCCTCACCCCGAGGCCAGTGGACACTTGGCGGCCAGGCACTGACCCGTTCCCGCCTCTCCTGGAGGCTGCAGCATCAAGAATCCCTCCATGGGGTTCATAGAAATAAGTGCAATTTTCTACACCCCTGAAACGATTCAAAGGGAAGCAGCATTACTAGTTAACTAGTTAAGCATTATGCTACTAGTTACAGTGTAGACAGCCCAGCCCAGCGGCCTATCGTGTGTTCAGGACCCTCTCTGACCCCCAACCCCCCAGCCCTGACGTATTTGATCACCAGCACCAGGGTGGCTCGTCTGTGGGGCTGGCGGCCCCGTCTACACTGGCTGAGTCTCTGACTGCTCTTGCTCCCTGCCACCTCCCTGCTTACTCTGACCTCAGCCCGTGCTGGCCCAGCGGGGGCCGCCTGGGCAGCCGGAGAGGAGGACACAGCCTTGCTGTCCTTTCAGAGGAGACTCTGGGTTGAAGCCCACCCCACCCCCTTCAAGCCCACCCAGCTCTCCTTGCTGCTGTTGAGTTCGGCTTTTGTGGGTCTCCATCTGGAGGCCCCAGCACAGAAACATGCTGGGCCCCGGAGGGCAAGAACCTCGCTGTGGCTACAGCGGGGGCCTGGACCCCACACCCCAGGCCTGAGATCCAAGTAGCTGGGGCACTGTGGGGTCCCTGACTTGGCAGGGGCTCACGGCCTTGCCTGGGGCCCAGCAGGTGGGCTCTCCTGTACATAGCTGGGTCTCGGGGGCAGGCCCCCCTTTTGCAGAGCCTGGGGCTGAGGGCACCTGGCTGTGTCCCTGTCCAAGAAAGGGGTTGGGTGGGGGCTGGGCTCTGAATAATGTACGATATCCCTTAGAGTGAACATTAAACCTGACCCTCTGCTGCGGCTGCCACCTGGTCTGTTGTCTTTGCCCTCCCTGGGCCCGCTGGTCTGAGGTCACTGCAGCAGCAGCTGCCTGTACACCTGGGCCTGGACAGAGTGGCAGTTGGGGCCACTAGATCACCCCCTTCAAGGGCACATGCCATGAGAGGGTGGGAGACTGGGCTGCCAGGGCTCTCAGAATGACGTCAGAGGTGGAGAAGAGCAGACCCATGTCACGGCGGCAGGAGGGACACGGGGGATGTGGTCCTGGGGAAGGACTCAGCAAAGCCTGGAGGGAGAGCAGAGACAGCCCGTCCCCCTGCTGCCTCTGTCCCCATCCCTGACACTGAGGACAGGGCTACACACCTCCTCAGGCCACCTTATGCATGTGGTCAGCCGTGTGGCCACAGCTGGAGGCTAGGGAGTGACCACAGGACCAGCTGGCCACATCCTCAGCCTCACTTGTCCCCAGTGTCCAAGCTGCTGCTGGGCCCAGCCAGGCCTGGCTGCCCAGCCAGTTCCCTGTCTGGTGGCTGGGGGACAGAGCAGCAGGTGCCTGCTGGCCCACACAAGGGCTGGGGAGGGCAGGTGGCCACCAGCACACAGCATGGCCAGGGTGCTGGGGACACGGAAGCAGCCCTGCCCCGGGGCCACGCATCCCGGCAGCTGCTTCCAGGGCAATCTGTATAAAGTTTTAGGGATTTAGGCTAACTACCAAATGTTCATGTACTTTCACTTATTTAGTTACTCATACTATTTGAAAGTGACATCGTGAAATCCTGTGCTGCAGAAGTCTCTCTTGCAGTTACGCCATCTGAGAGACAAGTCACCACAGCCTGGAGTCTGCGTGATGCTGGCTGTGCAGAATAAGAGGGTGGCTCTCTTCTCAAAGTAGGACAGTGTTCATGACCACCACGTGCCCACACGTCGTATTGCTTAGAAGGCACATTTTAGCGTCACCTGCAATCTGAGCTCATAACCCCAGGAGTGTCTGCTTCATTATCTGTCCCTCCCACTGCCTGCCACAGGGACCCTGCAGTCTCTAGTTGGACAGGGCCTGCCCCACATGGTCCTTAGGGTCAGCGGACCCAGCAAGGACTGGGAGTCTTACACGTGGCTTAAAAGTTTCCATTCTTCACGCCCACAGCCACCAAAGAGAAATGTAGAAGAAGAGCCATTAGGACCTGGACCGAACCCAGGAGAAGACCCAGAACAAAGGGGAGTGCACGACAGGGCAGGATGGCCGGACTCGGGGGCAGGCTGGGCTCAGGGCCTGGGTCATCCACTCGCCTCCACTGAGACATGTAAACAGGCGGCAGGAGAGGACAGCTGGGGAACAAATATTCACAACATGCGAGAGATTAAGGACCAAGGTCGATAACATGTAAAAAGTTTAGATGTAGATGGACAGATAAAGTCATCAGGGGAATAGCACAGGCGAAGTCACAGGAGGAGACTGGGCGGCCAGCTGGCGGAGAAAGCCTCGGCCCGACGGGGAGCTGGGAGCAGCCGGCACGGGCAGCAGTGTTTATTCTCACGCTTCCTTTGGCAAAAGATTTAAAGGATGTTAACACCCTGTGCTGGTGAATATGTGGGGAATATTAACACGGGAGCCAGCAGCCTCCCTCTGGTGCCTTGTGCAAGGGTGTTTATTGTCCCACTGTTTGTACGTTTGTCCCACATGCCCATTAATCAGGGCATGGCCAGATCATGCTCTGCCGTCCTGGGGACAGAGCAGGTTGGTCCCAAGGCTTGTGGCTAAGGAGGGAGTATGGTTGCGCCTGCAAGAGACCCAAATAACATCTGTCTAGAACGAGTAGGTCACGCTGTAAACTGATAAAGTGTCTCCTGTCCACCTGCCTTGGAACGTACAGCTTCATAATTACCCAGAGATGCCGGAACAGCAGGGCAGACGCTGCCCAGCCTGCCCGTGTTCCCCTGCTCTGCCCTGCTCTGAGCCAGCGCACTCTGGGTCGGATGCCCAGGCCTGCACGTCCAGGCTCAGCCGCACAACCTCAAAGGGCCACCCCTGGCTAGTCCCATGGCCCAGATATGTGCCCTGGCAGAGCAGCCAGCCCTTGGGAAGACAGACCTGAGGTGGGGGAGGGAGGGAGCGCGTGGGGACATCCCGAGGGGTGGGGGAGCTTCTGAGGGCACACTGAGGTGTGATTCTGGTTCTGTAAAACGAAGAACACATACCCCCTAGATGTCGTTGTGGGTGGTGGGGTAGCCGCGGCAGCTCACGCCCCCTGCTGTGCACAGCTGGAGGGGACGGCAGAGAAGGCACTACACCTGCTTCTGCAAATGGCCAGATGGACCCAGGTGGCTCCCCGCCCTGTCCCAGCACCCAGGGGGCAGAGGGTTCAGTTCCTCTTCTACCTGTGGAATCTCCCATGCCTCTGTGTCCTCCGTCACCCCAGCTTCCTGGCTCCAGGTCTGGAAAGGGGAGGTCTGGAGGGCCAGGGAGCCAGAAGCAGAGGGTTCAGTTCCTCTTCTACCTGTGGAATCTCCCATGCCTCTGTGTCCTCCATCACCCCAGCTTCCTGGCTCCAGGTCTGGAAAGGGGAGGTCTGGAGGGCCAGGGAGCCAGAAAGTACTGGAAAACCACCCACAAAGGTGTTAGGAGCCCTCCAGCCCTCGCCCAGGCTTGTGTGTGTCTATATCTCATCCTAACACACCCAAAGAACTGGCCTGAGTGGACCGCCTGGCCCATTCCCACAGCCACCACTGCAGGGCACACACGTGACCAGGGCAGTGCCCCAAAGGCACTGACCTCGAACCCACAGCACCGAGGCTGAAGCTAAAACGCCGACATTCTCCATAGGGTAAGAACAAGACCCAGAGTCTCATAAAGTAGGATTCAAAGTATTACAAACCAGAACGACTCAGCACCCAAAGGACCATGAAGACCTTGACCATCAGGGAAAGGGCTCGGCAGACGCCAGGCAGGCAGGGACACAGGCACGGGAACCGTCTGACGGGTCCTTCACAGCAGCTGTTCCCGAGGTGCTCCCATGGCCGCCAGCAGCACTCGCAGAACACAGGACTAGGAAGCACCAGCGAAGAAATGGAGGACATGAGAGCCACGTGCACACGTGACAACGGAGAACGGAATGATCACAAATGAAACCCAACGAAACCCTCCCGGGACAGAGTCGCCCGCAGGATGGAGGCGCCAAACGCTAGACAGAGGTGATCCCACCTGAACGGCGACAAAGGTCGACAAGCGGGTGGACGGAGCCTCAGGACCCCATGGGATGGTATGAGGTGTGGTGCCGGCACCTCAGGAGACCCTGGAGCAGGGGACGCCGCGCTCAGGGCGTCTGAAGAAGCAGCCTGGTGGCCGAAGGGCACCCGCGAGGCTAAGCCCGAGAAAGAAACCCTCGGACACACGGTCCCCGAACTGCTGGAAACCAAGGACAGGGGAAGGACCCTGAAAGCAGCAGGAAAGAAAGGAGCCCTGAGCCACAGGGAACAAGAGCGACAGTGTGGCACTGGCCAGGGCTTCTGGGACGGTGCGTGGCCCGGGCGGCTTGAGCGACAGTTTACCTGCTCCGCGTGCTGGAGGCCCGAGGTCTGAAACCGGCTGTCGGCAGGGCCGGCCTCCTCTGAGCGCTCCGTGGAAAAAATGCAAAAGTTCAGTTTCCATACTCAGTCTCACGACACGCTGGTGACACGCTTCCCCGCCAGGGCTGTGGGACTGTCCTCAGAGGCAAGCAGGCAGCTCTGCCGCAGACCCCAGCTGGTGTCTCCCAGGCCAGCCGCAACACGGTCCACCTGGAGACAGCGTCAGGCCCCACAGCTGAGGGCTCAGAGCCCAGGACCCCTGCTGTGACTGCAGCCCCCAGGTGGTTCCGCCTGTGCTCTTGACCTACTGGCTGCAACTCTGGGCTCCCACGACCCCCTCCTTAGGTCCGATTAATTTGCTAATGTCATAAACGGGGAGAATAAAGCAACCCGAACGGTGATGAGGTTTCCACGTTCCACTTAAGGTGATAAAACGTTGATGTCAGTAGACGAGGATGAGTATGGATGCTGTAATCCCAGAGCGACCCCTGAAGATATTATGTGAAGAGACATAATGGAAACCACAACTGGTAAATGAAAGTGGAATACTCAAAAAATACTCAAACGACCCAAAAGAAAGCAGGAAAGGGGAACACAAAGAACGAAAGGTAGAGGGAGCAAACAAAGGGGAAAAGTAATAAAATGCTAGACCTGAATTCAAATGGTTCAATAATTACATTAGATGTAAATGGTCTAAACACAACACTTAAAAGACAGAAATTGTCACAGTAGGTTAAGAAAACATGGCCCAACTGTATCTATATATAAGAAGCTCATTTCAAATATAATAATATAAGTAGATTAAACATAAAAGGATGAAAAATAATATATCATGAAAATACTAATCAAAAGAACAGGAGTGGCTATGTTAATATCACACAAAACAGACTTCAAAATAAGGAAAATCACTGGGAATAAAGATGAACGTTCATCAAGAAGCACAATATTCTAAAGGTGTACACCGAACAACAGGGAATAGTTGATGCAAAAACTAACAACCGAAAGGAGAAATAAATGCACAATTGCAGCAGGAGATACGAGTATTCCTCTCTCAGCGGTAGAACTGGTGGACAGGAAATCAACAAGGATATAAAATGCTGAGCAATACCATGACCCGACTGGACGTAATTACATTTATAGAACATTCCACTCAACGACAGCAGAATACACATGAAACACGCACCACAATAAACCGTATTCTGGTTCAAAAAAAAAACCTCAGCAAATTTAAAATAATCAAAGTCACTATGTTCTCTGGCCAGAATGAAATTAAACTAGAAATTAACAATGGAAACCAGGAAAATCTCTAATTACTTGGAAATTAAACAACACAACTATAAATAATCCATGAATCAAAAAAGAAGTGTCAAGGAAATTTTAGAAATATTTTAAACTGAATGAAATGAAAATATAACATATGAAGAAGTAAGAGATGCAGCTAAAACAGTGCTTAGAAAAAAATTT